ATGCATGTAGCAGAAAGCTTATACACTCAAGTCATTGTGTAGTTTCTTTTGAGATGTCAAGTGCAAACCATTATTGGTGGTTGTCATCTGGCCTGACTCGGGTGTGTGAGAAGTGTTTCCACCAATTTTTATTTCCCTGAGCTGTCTCCAAGTATGGTAGAAGCAGAGGAATCTACATACAAGAGAAAAGAAATGAGCATGGGGTTGGATGACGCTTCTTTGTAATTTAATAACTAGGACTCTTTTCAGTGTGTGGGGATTTTGTCGTTTCTCACTCATGTGGCCCGTGCTTCCTTCTAACAGTACACTTGAGGGAGCTGAGATCCCCCATTCAGTTAGTGAGACAGTTTTCTCATTCAGGTACAATTTCCACAGAAATAGTAGCTTATAAGTATCTAGAAGTTAGTTTATTGACTCTTATTGCACTTCTGAGTACCTAATAAATAATTTATTAGTCTGATGGATATGTGGCTACCTAACTATGGGGCATGAAATATGCACTGTTTTTCTAATATACTGTGGGGAGACCTGTTTATAAAGTATTTAGTATTGGTTTTATAATGCACTGTTGACAACAGGAGACCACGAAGCTCAAAGATCAATCTCATTTTGGCCCACAGTATTAATGCTGCTTTATAAAGCTCTATGACAGGTCACTTAGATAGTGGTCTTCACAGAAAGGACTCTGGTAGAAAGGCAGGCTGTAGGGGCTGCCAGTACAATAGATGAATGTCTTTGTCTCTGTCCCTAAGGTGACTCTGGCGGTTGCTGATGTTGGCCAGGTGATGGAACCCATCATTTCCCTGCTCTCTAGAGGGATTCTGGACTAGAAGTGCTGAGTTCTGCTAATGCAGACCTTGCTAATTGGGCAGAGAGCTGATGTGACTTTGGACCACAATTGCAGTTCTGGAGACAAGAGTCGGGCAATAAGGAGTGGAACTTGGCTCTCTTCAGCTTTGTCTTATGTTTATTAATGAAGTGAAATTATTCCATATCTCCGATGCCTTTGTTCAAATCACATAGGTGACATAGTATAAAGTATTTTGATTTTTATTGGCTTTGGGGAATTTCCTGGTCAGAAACAAAGTCAAAGACATTAGAAAAACTCTACATACTAAACACTTAGAATTGGGGGAAACCTACATAAAAATTAAGTAATTTCATCCAAAATCAATTCTCAGTGTTTTACTTTATTTTCTTTATAAGAACTACACACTGTGAGAATGCTGCATAATGGCAATGATTTATAACATATGGTTGCCCATCAAAGATATATGTGGGGTTTTTTTGTTTGTTTTTGAGATGGAGTCTCACTCTGTCACCCAGGCTGGAGTGCAGTGGTATGATCTTGACTCACTGCAACCTTTACCTCCCGGGTTCAAGCGATTCTTGTCCCTCAGCTGCCCGAGTAGCTGGAACTACAGGTGTGTACTAACATACCTGGCTAATTTTTATATTTTTAGTAGAGACAGGGTTTTACCACCATGTTGGACAGGCTGGTCTTGGACTCCTGACCTCCAGTGATCCACCTGCCTTGGCCTCCCAAATTGCTGGGATTATTGGCATGAGCCACTGCACCTGGCATGGTGTATGTTTTAGAGCAAGGCATTTTTCTCTTTGTATTGAAAACTCTTTGCTGGTTCTAAATATTTTACTTCCCAGACTGGGAACTCTGAGCTATACTCTTTTGGACCTAGTCAGCTTGTTTATTATTTCTCACACTTTCACGCTTTGTGGGAACCCAGGCTAAGTTCTGCTCTTTGCCATTTCTGTTACTCATTTCTTACTGATTCAGAGTTTCTTTATTTTCTCTTTCTTTCTTTCTTTCTTTTTTTATGGAATTTCACTCTTGTTGCCCAGGCCGGAGTACAGTGGTGCAATCTCGGTCACCACAACCTCTGCTTCCCAGGTTCAAGCAGTTGTCCTGCCTCAGCCTCCTGAGTAGCTAGGATTACAGGCATGTACCACCACACCCAGATAATTTTGTATTTTTAGTAGGAACGGTGTTTCTCCGTGTCAGTCAGGCTGGTCTCAAACTCCTGACCTCAAGTGGTCCACCTGCCTCGGCCTCTCAAAGTGCTGGGGTTACAGCAGAGTTTCATTTTACCCTTTCCAGTTGGACCCAGCCTTTTCTTCCATCTAGTACTCCTCGATTCCTTCCTATCAGGTCTCCCTTAGTAGATAGCCCCATCTTTACTTTTCTGAGATGATCATTTTGTGCATGTAGCTGTCGTTTATTGAGCACCCTGTGAGACCCTGAATTAGCAAAGATAAATTCTGTTCCTTTTAAGAAGTGTACAGTATAGTGGAGGAGACTGATAATAAATTGGCTTTCTAACATGAGCGGTTTTAATATATGTATTTCTTAACCACAGATTGTTTTTTCTGTATCTCTTAACTGGTTTCTGAGGGGAAAAAAAAAAGGTTCCCTCCCCTCCCTCCAGGGGCACCCTTTTCATTTGTGCTCTTGATCATATTCTCTCCTTGGACCCTTTCATACCATTTTCCCTCTGGCTTATATCTTCAATATCCTTTTCTCTGCTGGCTTCGTCCCTTTTGCCTGTGATAGTGTCTTTTTTCCCTGTAGTGAAAACAAACTGCCAACTTATGAACATAACCTGTCCGGGGTCCTCTTAACTTTTCAGACCACGTTTCTCCTACTTGTTTTCTTTGCAGAATTTCTCCAAAGAATGTTTTATCTTTTCTGTCTCTTTGTCTTCACGATTTGCTTACTTCTTAACGCCTTTGCAGTATGGATTCCGGATATCCATCAGTTTACAAAGACATTCTCTCTTATGGCACAAAGCCTCATAAAATATTTCAGCCACAAATACACATGAAGAATGGCATACTGAACCCCCATTGAGCTGAGTTTAGGAACTAATAATGTACAAACACATCTGAAGACTAGGGTTACTATTTAAATTAAACTGTGTGAGTCACTGTCAATCTCCCCATCCGCCATTCCCCATTTTCCATCCTTAAGCACTATTTTGATTTTGGTATTTATTATTCCCATGCCTCTTGGTTTGTTCCTACTGAATTTGCTACTACTTACTATTTTATTTTGTTTTACCATACCCTAATATCATCTTGTTGTTTTAAATTATTTAAAACTCTGAAGCATGCTACCTTCTGTCAACTGTTTTCCCTTGTCATGTGGAACATTGGATAGTCACAGTGCTCCTGTTAACACTGTTTCTTCTGTCTTTTCTCCTGATAACTGTGGGTATCATCCCCTGAGATTCTAACCTTGGCCACTTGCTTTCTCTCTTTTAGCAGGTCTGTGTAGATGGCTGCTGGATCTGGTAACTTCAGTATTAATCAGTTTTCTGACGTTTCTAGTTGCCTGCTCATCTGCATGATCTGCTCGCTGTTCCTGCATACTGAGCTTGCTGTATATTCTCACAAACCAGTTCATCCCCATTTCTGTTGATAATGCTGCCATTTTCCTAGGCTCAGACTGTTAGAACTTTAGTGTCATTGTTGACACTTCTCATTTATTAGTCATTCTGGTCCCCTTGATTTTATATTTTATCTTCACAGTATCTTTTGTATTGTGTCCTTTTTTTCCCTATAGCCCTATTGCCAGTAATTTACCCAGTTTGTTTGTTTGTTTATTTATTTAGACAGAATTTCGCTCTTCTTGCCCAGTCTGGAGTACAATGGCACAATCTTTGCTCACTGCAACCTCTGCCTTCTTGGTTCAAGCGATTCTCCTGCCTCAGCCTCCCGAATAGCTGGGACGACTAGGCATGCACCACTATGCCTGGGTAATTTTTTTGTATTTTTATTAGAGACGGGGTTTCACCATTTTGGACAGGATGGTCTTGAACTACTTACCTCAGATGATGCGCCTGCCTAGGCCTCCCAAAGTGTTGGGATTAGAGGCATGAGCCACTGTGCCCAGCCTATTTTAATATCTTCCTAATTGGACCCTGCTTTTGTCTTTTCACACTTCAGTACATCTGTTACACTGTTACCAGATAAATCTTGGAGTAGAATAATGATCGGACCTTACAGCTGTTGAGCTTTTGGTAGTTTTGACTGTTGGTGGATAACAGGCTAAATAGCGACTGTTTATGGCGGGGTATTGGACTCTTACTTTTAGAAGTAGTTCCTGTCAACCGCTGCATCCATTTTGTTCACTGTTCTTCTATGTATATCTTCCCTTACATTCCTGTCAAACTGTATTACTTCTTTAGGAATATAATCGATGCTCAGTGCTAGAGCAAAGACTGCCTCTGCATAAAAGTTTTTTGTTGTTGTTGTTGTTAAAAACCACACTGGCTGGAAGGGAGCTCTTAAGTTGTTCAGAATTCTGCTACTGTTTCTTTTTCCATTCTGTTTTTGTTAAGGTTGTTTTGTTCACAGCTTATCTCCTATATTAGATTGTAAACTTGTGAGGAAGGAGTGTGTCTTAACTTTTGTGTTCTCCACAGCTTCTTGTACTTGGCAAGGGGCGGGGGCTTGATTCGTATTTCCTAACAGCAGTTAAAAGTGTCATTTTAAGAGGTAGAAGGCCGGGCACTAGCCAGGCGTGGTGGCACGTGCCTGTGGTCCCAGCTACTCGGGAGGCTTGAGGCGGAAGAATTGCTTGAACCCAGGAGGTGGAGGTTTCAGTGAGCCCAGATTGTGCCACTGCATTCCAGCCTGGTGACAGACCAAGACTCTGTCTCCAAAAAAAAAAAAAAAAAAAAAAAAAAAAAACGAGCGGGGTGGGGTGGTAGAAAAGGGAGTAAGAAACTGAGCTAGGCAGGACAACAGTATATTCATTATCAAGTAGCAAATTATTCAGTACCTTCTACTTTGTTCCTTTAGTTCTTATCAAAGTTTACTTAGCTGTTGGCTACTATCAGCTTTAGAAACTGTTAACGCTTAAAAATGTGTTTTTTTGGTCATAGGTATATTTCATTTACACTTTCTTAAAAGTTTTGATGTACTCAGTGCTTTTAAGTAATATTGTCTGGGCATATGTAATTTGCTTTATCTCTCAATAGGCACACCGTGGGCCCACCCCACCGCCTCATAGCCTTAATTACAAATCAGAGGACAGGCTTAGTGAGCAAGACTGGCCAGCATATTTCAAGGTCCCATGTTGTGGGGTTGATACATCTCAAATTGAGGTATGTTGATTTTTTTTCCCTTTTAAGTTACTTGGAGATACTCGCATGCTTTGTCTGCCTAGTTAAGCTATATCTCTCACCTGTTCTTCCCGCCAGTCTTTTACTGTCTTTCATACTCATCTTCATTCTATGAAACTCAGCTATGGACTTGCTTCCTGACACTTTTTGCCTCTGAAGAAATCATTGAAAGTAGTAGATTTGATGATGGTTATTTGAATGACTTTGAATGTGATAAAGTATCTGTCTTCTATTGGTTCTCTCCCTACCTACACTTATTTCTCTTCTCCTTTTTCTCTTCTTCTTTTCATACTGTTATAGGGTAGTTTATTGTTATCACTATTTTTTAATAATAGTACTGTCTTAATAGTGTTAGTAGTAAACTTTTAAAACTGAAGTTTAACATACTTAAAGAAAAGTTCACAAATATGTGTATAGCCTGATAAATTTTACAAAGTGAATGTACCCAGGACCACCTACTAGATGGAGATACTTAACATTACCTGAACGCCGTAAGTGTCCCTTTGCCCAGCCACTGTTCTACACCGAAGGCAGTCACTATGCAGATCTTCAAAGCTAATGGTTCAGTCTTCCTGTTTTTAACTTGCTGTTAATAGGTTTCTGGCATCTTTTGGGTTTCTTAATTTTGAAAACAATCTCTTAAGTTCATCAACATTTGTTTCGTTTCAACATTTTTCAATTTAAATATATATGTATGTAAATAGTCTCTACCAAGACCAGTAGATTGCTTGAGGGTAGAAGTTCCTAGACTTGCCTAGGAAACATAGTGAGACCCCATCTTAAAAAAGGCTAGGTGTGGTGGCCGAGGTGGGAAAGTTGCTTGAACCCAGGAGTTTGAGGTTACAGTGAGCTATGATTGTACACTGCACTCTAGCCTGGGTGAAAGAGTAAGATCCTATCTCTTAAAAAATAAAAAATAGTCTCTGGTTTTATAAAAATTTTTGAAACTTTAAGTATACTGGGATTTTATTTTTAAGTTGATTTTTTTAGATTTGTAAATTGCATATAAGGGAGTGTCATTTTAGTGTTGTTGGTTTGTTTTTTTTCTTCCTGTGATAATTTATTATTATTTTTTTTTTTTTGAGAAAGAGTTTCACTCTTGTTGCTTAGGCTGCAGTGCAAAGGGCATGATCTCAGTTCACCGCAACCTCCACCTCCACTTCCCAGGTTCAAGCAATTCTCCTACCTCAGCCTCCTGAATAGCTGGGATTACAGGCATGCACCATCATGCCCAGCTCGTTTTTTGTATTTTTAGTAGAGACAGAGTTTCTCCATGTTGCTGAGGCTGGTCTCGAACTCCTAATATCAGGTGATCTGCCTGTCTCAACCTCCCAAAGTGCTGGGTTTACAGACATGAGCCAACGCACCCAGCCTTTTCTGTAATCATTCTAAAGGCAGTGTTGAGTTTTTTTCAATAATTTCATGAGGTACTGAGCTCCGCCTTGCAACATGATTTTCTTTTTCTTTTCTGAAATGGAGTAGAGTGCGGTGGTGCAGTCTTGGGTCGCTGCAATCTCTGCCTCCTGGGTTCAAGTGATTCTTCTGCCTCAGCCTCCTGAGTAGCTGGGATTACAGGCATGTGCCACGAAGCCTGCTAATTTTAAAAAAAATTTTTAATAGGGATGGGATTTTGCCATGTTGGCCAGGCTGGTCTTGAAGTCCTGATCTCAAGTGATCCACCTACCTCAGTCTCCCAAAGTGCTGGGATTATAGGTGTGAGCCACCGTGCCCAGCCTGTGACGTAATTTTCTTGGATGTTGCTGAATCTCAATCTTTTTTTCTGACAGTAATTTAAACCATTATTATGATATCTTTAATGAGACTGCAAGCTTCTTGGTCCACAGACTGTAGAAGGAAGTAAATAAAGAAATTAACATTACCTTTGCTGAGTGTGGTGGCTCACGCCTATAATCCCAGCATTTTGGGAGGCCAAGGCAGGTGGATCACTTCAGGCGAGGAGTTTGAGACCAGCCTGGCTAAAATGGTGAAATCCCGTCTTTACCAGAAATACAAAAATTAGCTGGGCTTGGTGGCAGGCGCCTGGAATCCTAGCTACTTGGGAGGCTGAGGCAGGAGAATCATTTGAACCCAGGAGGCACAGCTTTCAGTTACCCAAGATCATGCCACTGTACTCCAGTCTGGAAGAAGAGTGAGATCCTGTTTCAAAAAACAAAAAAAAACAAAAACAAAAACAAAAACAAAAATGAATTAACACTACCTTTATAATTCTTGCAACTTTCATGTTCATGTGAAAGTAATTTCCCATTGTGTGTGCCCCCAGCCTGTTTTGTTTGTTTGTTTTTAATTCATTTAAGTAAAGCTATCACTGGTTCTTTACTTCTGGATTTTCTCATAAAACATTGAATATAGGTTTGGTAGAAAGAAGCCACTGTTACTGTTTGCACTTGAGAGAAGATTAATAAAAGTCACTTTCCTTTTTTTAAACCAAAACAAGGTAGGTAAAATATTTGACCTTTTGTAGGCACAAGATTCATGCTGACCTCAGCTGCTTTTATATCTGCAAATATCTTGAGTCTAAGGATTCATCATTACCTAACATTTTGTAAACTACTTCATCTACCATACCCTACTCAAATCCTTTTATTTTTAAATTTTTGTAGTGCATCAAGGGATTATGGCTTTTGGATATTTCCTCCATGTGTTTCTATGAAACTGAGCCCGTGATTAGGTTGTCAGCAGATAGTGTATTATATTGACTGTTTTACTTGGTACAGACACACGAGTCAACCAGAGCAGTTTCTCCCTTTTGCTGAGAAGGTTGAAGCTTTTAGATAACATTTAGTTATGGGGGATGTTTGTGCCACTGTTTAAAGTGATTTGACCCTGTGTCCTCCTCCAACCTCATGTCAGAAGGCCTATTTTCCTCTCTTGGTCTAAGGGCATATAATGAAGTCTTCAGTACACAAGCTTTCTCCCTCCGTATGGGTGAGTGGTTATTTATTTTTGTCACGTGCTCGGATATTGTGTTCTTGTGAGTAAACATTGGACCATCTAGGACTCACAGTACTTTGGAATAAACCAAACCAACTGAAAACTGAAGGCATGCCTGCTTGTCTTATTTGCAACTTGGACCATGACCTTGCCCCATCACATCTTCAGGCTGTTCTGATGAAGCCTTCTTTATGTTAAAATGCCCAGTCACGGTGGCCAGAACCATCTGGAGAAGGTATAGTTGTAAATATGAAGTAACATGTATAATTCTAACAGAGAGGAGCCAGTGATTGAGCCTGGCAATCAGAGATGATGCAATTTTTTTCTTTCCTGATTTGAATCTGTAAAGACCCTTAAGTGCATTTTGAATGTGTTCATCTTTAAGCTGTTAACCCAAATTCATGTCCCAGGTTTTTAAGAGAATAAGCAATAGAATATGGTGTTCCCAAAGAAGAAGACGTATAGAAGCAGATAGGTGTATATTTCATTCATTCACAGATAGGCACTAGGTAAGATTCAGTAGCTGGCATGCATTCATCAACATGTTAATTGGAATTAAAGCCTACTACATTTAGGCTTGGCTAGATCATATGTAAATTGAAACACAAAAGAGAATTGTTAACTAGAAAAGTAGTTGTCTAGGTTCCTTAAAGTTTAAATATAGGGATCCAACTAGTATACTTCAAAATTTTTCATGAATATCAAGCTTTACTGCTGATTTACATCCTCTTATAAGGATAATAATGAAAGGAAATTAGGAGCCAGTCGGAGAGTGCAAAGACTTAGGTGTAAATGATGGGTGAATCTTTTTTTTTTTTTTTTTTTTTTTTTTTTGAGATGGAGTTTCACCCTTGTTGCCCAGGCTGGAGTGCAGTGGTGCAATCTTGACTCACTGCAGCTGCAACCTCCCAAGCTCAAGTGATTCTCCTGCCTCAGCCTCCTGAGTAGCTGGGATTACAGGCATCCGACACCAGGCATGGCTAATGATAGGTGAATCTTAATTGTGAAGATGAGTACCTTTATCAGTAGAGATGACTTAATATCAGAACTTTATCTTAGAAGCTGCTCTTTACTCTTCCTCCTTCTGCCCACTCCATGCCAGTAGAGTTAATGTAAGCATAGTAGAGTAATATTTCATCTGTGTGTGTGTGTGTGTGTCTGTAGTTTTCTTTTTTTTTTTTTTTTTGGATTGGAGGGTGAATTTTTTACTATCTTTTCATCTGTTTACATATGTCAAGGGAAAACAGGGAGCTTAGATTATAGTGTAATTTTTTACAAAGGGAAAACCTGAGTTGAAATTATTGTTTTACTTCTTTTCTATTCATTTCTTTACAGTGAGTCAAAAAATTTTCCTCCTTCACATAGAAAATGAAACTTTACACAATAAAGTAAGGATGGCAGGTTTCACAAGGGAAAAAGGTTGCTGTCAACTTTTTTCATCAGGAATATGGAAATTTGGGTGGATTATCTGTTCAGAAGAGGTTTCCTTTATTACTTCTTTTTCCTTTTTTCACTTAAGACATCTGTTAACATTTCACACAGCCCAACAGATGTTGCAAAGCAAGTCCCATACTTTGTTCTCAAGAAAAATGACATTTCCTCGATTGGTTCCCCTACCTCTGTGACTGAGTCCAGCCTGCTGCTTCTGCATAATTTGCATATATTAAGTTATATACCTTAATGCCATATGAATTTGTAGCTTCAGCATTGTTTTTATATGGTAAAGTCTGATTTGATTAGAAACTAGTTTACATGTTGCTCTAGAATTAGGAGAGGGCAAAACATTTAAAAACTCTTCTTCAAGAATGGCAACCTGATTTCCACATAAAAGATTGGGTAGCCAGTTTTTAACATTTTTTTTCCTATAAAATAAATGAATTACAAAAGCTCAAGTTGTTTCGCCATAAGGAAGTGCTGATTGTCATGCGATGTGGAGCGTCATTTTTATTATTTTGGCAAGAACAGGGACAGTTTTGTCTTGACAAGCCATTAAATGAATACCAGCGTGTGTCACATGAAAAACCACTGATCTTTAACCCAGCTCTGTACTTAACCAAGCCTTGAAAATGAATAGTGAATAAAAGAAGAGCAAAGGCAGAGCATATTACAGATTATGGAATCTGTTAACAGTTGCTGAACTGAACCCAGGGAATTGCAGGTATTGTTCTATGAACCAGCAGAAGTTATAGAGATGCTTGTTAAATTGTATACATAAACTATACATTTATTTTATATTTGTGCAGGATTTACATTGTTGGAGACAGAAAAAAAAATCCTAGAGTACATTCTCAGTGCAGTAAATGTATGCTTTTATCATAAAATCATGTATATTTACATAGAACTCAGTGAGGTTTTTTTTGCCCCCAGTTACAGAACTTATTTTAGCAATGTGCTTTTAAAGAATGTAAGTAGAAAGAAGAAAAAGTATGCAATATATCCTTCCCCTCAAAGGGAACACCCCACAAACATACATACAAAACAAAAATCTTTGCTCAGTTGCATTTTTATGTATTCACTGTGGCTGATTTGTGTACACCAACATATGATTTTTTTAAAAAGAAAACTGAGGGAAAAACCCAAAACCTACCGTAATACTCAAGTATTGAAAAGATCAGTAACATTTTAAACGGTTGTGGGAATTATTGCTTACAGAGCTAACAAGAAAGAACACACTTTTTTACTCTGCTGGTGGAATTGCATTGTGCCTCCCTATAGTCTTGTTATCCCACACTAACTGAAATGCAAATTTTTTGTAACTAATTGGATCTCATTGAGGGTGTATGCACAGTGTGTAGTTATATGCAAAAAGGTTTTAAAAAGTAAAAATTTTCCTGCAATTACAACTTTTAATTACTATCTAAACCATGGCACCTATAGCACAGGCTTAGAATATATGTCTGACTTTTTTACATATTACACCAAAACATGAGCTATGAAATGCTTAATAAGGTGTTGGCTCGAAAGTTACAGGGAAAAGGTTTAATTACAGCAATCTATAAATTGAATTTTAACTGTAGTCATGTGAAAATAAAGATTTCTTTTTAAGTTTAGGATTTAGTATCTTAGAGCCAGTATACAAAAGGCATGTTATAGTGCAATCCTCTTCTTGGAAGATTTTAAATGTTAAAACATCGTCAACATCAGAAATCACTTCCAGAACCATTGTCTTTTTTTCCCTTCAGTTCTCCAATCTGTTTTACCATTGTAAAATATTTTTGAGCTTCTTACTGTGTTTAAGTATATTTTTGCTTATGCGTTGTGGTGTGGGGGAGGTATTCACATTCCTGCCATGTCTTTAACTGGGATGCAGTGAAACCTAGTTTGGTGGACTTCACAATTGCCATGGTCCCTTTCTCACTATCAGTAAGTGTGGGAAAGCCAACAGATGGCCTTTAAGCACTTCTGATTCTTTAACCTGAAATACTCAGAATCAGCAGCAAAAGGCAATTATTGTGGAAGTGATACCTGTCTCCTTCCTTCTAGTTTTAAATAATTTTCATACAAATGATTCCAAAGAGTTATTCCATAGTTGTCAGACTATGCAGCCAGTGAAAAAAACTCAAAAGAAATCTTTGTGCCTTGTAGGTGTATTTTTTTTGTACCTGTGTTGCTAAAACGATACAGGTGTCCCCCACTTGCTAGATAGAAATAATCCTAACATCAAAGGTTCTACACATTATATTATATGTGGAAGTTCAGATCATGTATCTTGAGGATTTATAGAGGGGCCAAATGTTCTTTTAAAAAATTTAGTAAAAAATGAGCGTTAGAGAAACAAATCTTTTTTTAATTTATTACTGAGTTTGGATTAATTGTTGTCTCTTTTTGTAACAAAGCTTGTCCTCTTTGTAAAGTTGTGTTACAACGTAGTTAAGGTTTTGTTTGAGCAAATCCATTTAGCAGATGCACTTTTGTATATTTGCTATGAAAAATATTTTTTAAAACTTAGAAAGCTATCTTGGTGTTTTTAAGGCTTGTGTTGTGGCAATAACATGTTATATTGCAGACCTGTTTCAGTCAGAGACACCTGAGTCCTTGGTGTCTGGAAGAGCTCAGTTTGCCTATACTGGGTAGCATTTTGTCAGAAGACTGCTGGCTGGGCAGACTAGATTTGGATGTATTAGCTAGTCAGCCTAATAACCCTGTACAGACTGTATTGATTTTCTAGGAGAGAGTTTATGAACTAAATAAACTTGGGGTTGGTGTCTTAATAAACTGCTTCTCTCAGTCTGTCACACTTAGTTACGGAGCTGTGCAGTTTAGGGGGAAAAAAGGCTAATTCTGTTACAGATTGTTCACAGCAGGGTCTCCAAATTAGCCCTTTGTTTTGTAATGCCACCTTGCTTGGGCTCGCTTTGAGCACATTTCTCAGTTTTGCCCTAATGAGTTGCAACACTGATAATG